AGAGGGCCTCAGATAGTCCTGGTTACAGACAAATAAAGATCTATGAACCCTCCCCTACATCAAGTCATAAACAAACTGGCTGGTTTCATCATAATCATCTGGTTGTTAAATTATTCACTTCTAACCTTCAAGTTGAGCATTTTGCTGAGTAAGGTGTTTAGTTCCTCAGAGTAGCGGTATGGGATTCTTCTGTACTTCCCTTCTCTGATCTTCTCTGTCAGCTCTCTTTGGTTGTAAGCAGTGAATGGAGGGCTAAACAGGGGAAAAGCAGGAGAAATGTTCAGATTCAAAAGTTGTCGAACCTGCTGCTGGGTAAACACACTCAGAGGAGTTAGGAAACTTACGATAAAGCACAGAGTTCATACAGCAAACACCCCAGTGACCAAATATCTGACTTCTCGTTGTATGACATCCGGTTTACTTGTTCCTGATAGAAAAAACACAAATATAGCTAATTAGGCTGTATCCAGGAGGCTCAGAGTTCAGACTAAATGCTCTAAACAGTCTGCAAAAAAATGTTAATTTGAGAACAAAACCTTGGACTAAGCAGGATTAAAAGAACTCACTGGAGACATGTAGTAAGGTGTCCCAACAAATGTTCTTGCAAAGCTGGTGTCATGGTTCAGGATCCTTGCTAGGCCAAAGTCCCCTAGCTTTACATTCTGCTTGATGTCGAGAAAGATGTTGGCTGGTTTCAAGTCTCGGTGAAGGACTGTGGCACGGCCGTCACTGCGTCTGTGGCACTCCTTCAGGGCTAACGTGAGCTGTGCCATGACTCGCAGGATGAACTGCTCCTCCAAATAACGCCTGCCAGAGTAACAAAACGATTACATTTCAGCTGTAGACAGAAGGCAGGCACAGCAACCTAAAGTACACTAAGTATTCAAACGGCAAGAATCAGATCGTCACCTTTCCTTGATGCATCGAGTGATGAGACTGGAAAGGTCGCCGCCCTCGCAGTGCTCCATGACGATGTACAGTGTGGCGTTACTCCGGTCTATAATGCGGTCGTGGTACCTCACTATGTTTGGGTGCTTGAGTTCCCGCAAGAGGTTCACCTCGGACACCAGCATCTGCTTTTCACTCTCCGCCATGTTGCCATAGTCCAGCTCTTTCCATACAAGGATCTTTGGAAAAAGAGATTAAATATCAAAATTCAATATATATATTATGATGTCTAACAAGGGAGTAGGTAGCAGGTAGGTAGGTTTCTTTCTTTAAATGATCCACATTCTTTTGCGTAACAAACAACTGAAACTATTAATGATTGTCAAAATGGTTTCTGATACATTTTCTGTCTGCTGACTTCTTCTTACAGCTGTTATTGTCTGAATTGAATAAGGGTTTCAAAGTCAGAGGCTCAGGTGGGATACCTGCATGGTAAGAAGCTGCACTTCTGCCTTTCTCTGGGAAAAAAAAAAACGGGGGCAACCTCTAAATAGACTTCAATTTAGTTCTGTTTTATTTTCAAAATAGGAGCAAACTGGACAAGGTTGTTAAACTAGGCAGCAAGATAACTGGGAAGCAAATGTACAGCATTTCTTTCCTGACAGATCGGTACACACTGAGCCATCGAGATTACAGCTGATCCTCTGCACATCCTTTGGTCAGAGTATGAACTCTTGAATTCAGGGTGCAGGTACAAACTGCCCAGGATGAGGACTGAAAAAAAGGCTTTACATCCTTTGTAAGAACTGATTATACAGGACGAACTCGGCACTCAGCACTTTATCTAACTTGCTGAAATCCCTCAATTGAATCATGTGATGCTTTAGTGTGTTTTTATGTGCTGTCCTGTAAATGTTTGTTTGAATTGTGTGGTTTTTTTTTTTTAGCTCTCTGTGCAAGGCAAATTCCCCTAGGGGCAATAAAGGTTTCATTCACTCTTTTTGAAAGGGAATCAACATATCTGCCTCTTTTTTTTTTTTTTTTTTTTTTAATCATTTTATAAAACATTTTTTTTTATGATTACAAAACGAATATGAAAATTAGTTTTTTCCCCGTCACCCATCACTGCACATTGTTTATTTAGGTTCATGTAACAAGACTTTACAATGTGTTTGATATTCTTAACTGAAGTGCATAGTATAGAAAACTTAACACAGCATCACTTATATTTGTGCAGGGTTATTTAACTCGGGTTAACCACAGTAAACGGTGAGCGTGCGTTACCTAGCGACAGGTAGGCAGTGTTTTTGTGTGTGTGTGTGTGTGTGTGTGTGTAAACATAACTCACTTTTTCATCCGATTTCCGTCTTATTTTCTGGCATCTTCCATATGATCCCGAGCCTATAGTGTATAACACCTCGTAATCTTCAACTCGGGACGGCATCTTTCGAATAAATCGTTAAATATTATCTGACTCAAGCTGACGTTAACGTGGACTACGCATTAACACAGGCTGCACATTATTTCAGAAGTACTGTCTCGGTTTACTCTTGTCCTGGAGTCGCCTTAGTCCCCCGATATTGATGCCAAAATAAACCAATTTTGGGGCTTTTTCCTTCTTTGAAAGTCCACTCGTGTGTGTTGCTGTAAACAAAACAGGAAGCGCTGGCTCTCCGTTTAAATTGGTGCCGAAATCTCAAATCATGATTGGCCCACTCTGTCCCTACTGGTGGCTCCTGATTGGTCCATAAGAACATACAACTCGCGAGGTTGCCAAGCGCCTGGAAACCGCGAGAGTGGGGCGGGTAGATTACTCGTGCAGGTCCACCACTCTCCACAGGGTGGCGCCAGAAATACACAATCTGGTCGGAGGTCGAAGCCACGCTGTGGTCACCCTGGCAACTATCTCCTGGGACACAGGACAGACAAATTCAAATGTGTAAGCGAAGTGTAAAAAATTGATCTGTCGATACTTGCACTGATTTTAAATGTTGCATTGTGATAAAAGCCAAAAAGAACAAGTATGCATGGCTCATATCTGCTCATAATATAGGCTATGTAAGGCCAGAAGAAACCAAACAGTTTGAACCATTGAATAGGTTTGAACCTATTATTATATTTAAAAAGAACACGTTCTCTGGCAAGATAATAAATGTGTTATTTCAGCTACCAATTTAAAAAAGGATACCAAAATAAAATCAGCTCACTTTCTTCGAACTGTGGATGTAAAAAAAAAATACAGAGATTTATGTTTGGATTTATTGGATTTATTTATTTATGTTTGTATGTTATTTATTTATGTTTGGATCTATTATTATTGGATTTATTATTAGTTAATGTAATGTAGCCTAATGTACTGCACTGTAGCCTATTCACAGAAATGTAATGTCTTTTAGACTTACAGTAATATGTACAGTAAACCAGGAAAGTAGGTTTTGGCAAGATTATCAACCTGTGGGGAAAATTAACTATAAAATTGTAACAATTAGCTTAATTTGTTTTTCTTTTTTGAAAGGCAGGCTCAATTATTTTCTTTTCCTTTTTTATTATTTTTAAATTTAAAATAGCATACTATAATGTACATATTAAATTTGACTTTGAGCCACCAAGAGAGGGGTTATGATGCCTTCCAGAAAAACATAAAAATATATAATTATATATTATATAATGATTAACACACAAAAAAGTACTCACATTTGAAACAAAACATTATCATCAAGTAAGATTAAGGCTGAAAGGAAAGTGTGTGTAAAAAAAAAGTGTAATAGTAATATGTCATATGTAAAAGTATGATAAGTTTGCACATGATGACAGCAATGTGTCGTCTGTTGCTCTTTACACACAAAGATGCACACACCTGTGTCTATTTCTAAATGATTTGATGTCCTATCATTGCTAAAGTAGTGACATACATGGACATTGCTTTTATTCTGCTTCTAGCCGTTACAACAAATTATTAGCCTATATTAAAAACATGTAAATGAACATTTTTAGTATTCTCTTGTGTTTTTGTAATGCCAGTGTTTGGAAAGGCTATTAGCACATGTGCGCAGCTGTGAGTTAGCTTTTGTTAATCTTTCTGATGAATTCCTGAATGCATTAAAAGTTTGCAAGCTGCCGTCAGATCAGTTTCATGGGTGCATATGTCAAGAACATTGGAGTCTGATACCCTTCTTAGCTGGAATCTGTGAAACAGTTATCATCTAAAAAGTAACACTTGGCAAGCTGTCACACTGCTCATATTTCTGGTTGTCTATATGTCATATTTTCTCAGGTGAGTTAATCTAAGAATCCACTTATGCTAACACTGAGATATCCATTTACGTCTGTACAAAGACCATTTTCCCCCAGAACTGAACTCTGTGGTATTATCCTTTGGTGGTTTCACAAGGATTATATCTGATACTCTTTTAAAACTTTACCTAAGGATCTTGTAATTGAAACAAACTGCGATCAAACTGATTAGACCCGATCATTAACTGTAGCCATATTATGCACATTTATGTGACAACCATTATTCTCTATGCCACGATATAAAGAAGCGCAGTGGTCAAAGTTACGGTTGAAATCATACATTTTACTTATAAAATAATCTTCTTCTCTCTTCAACTTAATACTAATGTGAAATCACTTCATCAGTCCTTGGGACTCCTGTCTCACTGGGGCAGCCACAGTAACAGTTGTGTTCAAATTATCCTCTCAGCCCTCTCCGGACTGTGCTGCCAGTACCACACACTGACACCACACACACCACCAAGAGAGTGAGAGCCGAGCCGGTCTGTCAGTCTGCCTCTGCAAAGGTCACTCCTACAAAGAGCTGGAGGAGTTTGGACATCAGCCAGGAACAGTCGGCGGGGAGCAGGGGGTGTAGAGCGGAAAACTGACAGCTAAAAACAACAGAGACAGTCTGGTGCCTAAGGCAGCTCTGACATCAGATGCTCATGTTAAAGGCCAGGAGTTGAGAGGGAGCACCAGGAGGACAGACTTACAACACAAGGCTCCTGTTTGTGGACTTCAGCTGAGCATTCAAAACCCTCATCCCGGATATCGTCCACCACAAACTGACCCAGCTCACAGTACCAGCTTCCACCAGTCAGTGCGTCATCAACTTCTTGACAGACAGGAGGCCGCAGGTGAGGCTGGGGAGCATCACATTCAGAACCTGTACAATCAGTGGTGGAGCCCCCCAGGGGTGTGTCCTCTCTCCGCTGCTCTTGTCTCTCTACACAAATGACTGCACTTCAGGGGACCCCTCTTTGAAATGCATGAAGTTTGCTGACAACACCAATGTCATCAGCCTCGTCTGGGATGGTGACGATTCTGAAGGGAGGTGGAACAGCTGGTCCTCTGGTGGGGTCACAACCATCTGGAGCCAAACCCTGGCCTTGGAGTCCCTCAAGGCTCAGTTGTCTCAATTATTCCGAATCCGGATATCTTAAATCACTGTTGCACATATGACACCCAGCTGTACCTTTCCATCCTTTCAAATGACCACTTTGGATCCATTACCCTCATTAAATGTCAGATTTATATTTGTGGATGGATGGCTAATAACTGTCATTAGTAAAATGAAAGCAACACAGATCATAATGTTCTGCCCCCCCCAATCTCCTTGTGCATCACTGCCGAGTCTCTCAACCAACTACCCAAGACTGCACAGTATATAAAAAAAAAAAACCTTGGACTAATATTAGACAATGCTCTGAATTTAGATCAAAATATTAACATTTTATTAGCACCTCAAGATTAAGAAATATTCATTTTATTGCACAATTGCAAAAACCTTCGAGACTGATATGACAAAACCAAGGCCAAGTAAACTTTAACAGGAATCTTTGATAGACTTACCATTTCAGTCACTTTTTTGCGTTTGATAATGAAATATCACACATTTATCTATGTCAAAATGTATGAGCTTCTTCCCTGCTGCACTCCTGAGACAGATCTTTTCCCCGATGGATGTTTTTGACACAAGTATTTGCATGAGAAACATGTGATCCCAACACCAGTGTCGGTCCAACAGCAGGAGGGGCCAGAGAGACTGTGACGCCCATGGCTGCTGCAGTGACATTCAGCCTGGCCCTCCTCTCCACAGCTGGGTGTTTTAGTGTTTGTTGACTCAAGGGACACGGCTAACCAACAAGGCATCTGAGGGAGCAGGCATCAAAGTGTGACACTGATGATCTTTGGGAGTAGTGACGGTGAAATAGATTATTGCAGGTGTCCAATAAAGAACACAGGCGCTATCTGCAGAGGACACCAAAGTTCCTCTAGGATCGTCTGTGTGAGGTGGTTGACCTTGGAAAGAGGTTTTGAGCTGTACTGAGTAGGACACACAGTCTAGAGTGGTTCTCCATCTGGACAACACGCTCAACAATGGCCACCCTGGCTCCTGACTGTTAGCCCTTTTGGTATGTCGGTGAAGCTTCGTGCATATTTAATCCCATTTTCCAGCCCACTTCCCGCTGTTTTCTCTCCCAGTTGCCATTGGCTGCCTGAAGCGGGTGGCTCTCCCGCAGACCCGACCCTCCACCTATCACTCCAGCTGCTATGGAAATGTTGACGGCACGCCTTGCTGGCCTTATTTATCCTCTAAATCAAACATTGTAGTGCAGACTGATGGAAAGATAACATTTTGAATTCTCAAATAGAAACAGATATATGTCACAGTTACAATGTAAATGACCCTTTTCAAACTTTGAATCAATAATGATCAATCAATTGGAAAAACACTTCTCTTTTCTTGATAAATATGGAATAAAGTAGGCAGCCAGTTTTCTTAGCTTAGCATAAAGAATGGTAACCAGGAATCTGCTAGCCTGCTTCAGTCCAGAGGTGACTCAATCTGTCCGCATTGAGCTCTAAAAGGTCACCATCATAATATTATACCATGGCTTGTTTAATGTGAACAAAATAGAGTTATAAAAGTCGATTCTGAAACAAATTTCTGGCTTGGCAAGCAACTTCCTGGAGGCTGGCATGATTTCCTGGGGAACTGTTAAAAAATGAGATCTAGAGGGTGCCAGTTTAGCTTAGTGGTAAGGTTGTGCGCCCCATGTACAATTGTTATCGTCCATATTGCAACAACCGTGGGTTCAAATCTGTCCTCGTTTTGTACATTGTTGTTTTCTCACTTCATGATGTAAGTCTACTCAGCGAGCTATAAAGAAACTGGTGGTCACCTTCTTCGGACAGAGCATGGAGTGATTTCTGTCTAAGCTACCTGAATGCTAGTTTCACGTTTACTTTAATGACACGTGTTTGTTATCAATGTCATTCTTACTAACTCTAGAAGGAGGAAAAATTAAAAAGGTTGAGCATCTTTATTGAAGCTTATCTGGAAACTACAAAAAAAAAAAAGGCTGCTTACAAATAAATGCATTAGTGATATTTTTAGATGTCGTCTCAATTCTACTTCTTGATTGACATTTTGCCGATAATACTGTCAGCCTGTTGTAGTAAGTACAATTAGATCTTGAAATAACTGTTATTTAGTAGCCCAATTTCAAATTGAAGTACTATTTTCACTTAAGGAATATTTACGACTTTAAAACTCTGCAACGTTTGTCTTAAACACTCGGCAACAGGCAGGAATGCTAATGATGATCTCCTGTCTGAGTAAGAAGATCTCTGCATTTCTTTCAGCCTACCGTCACTGCTGAAACCAGAAGTC